ACACACACACACACACACACACACACACACACACACACACACACACATTTCTATACATGGAAATTATCTTTTTTTTTCCTCATCAAAGGTTTTATTTAAAAACTTCTCTGCTGCATTTCACAGTAATTTCTCTGTAACTTCTGTTCACACGAGCAGGCGCTGAGTAACTTAATAACGGGATGGAAGAACAGGAGCTGTTAAGACCGCACACGTTGCCTTTTGAAGTAGGCAGCAGGACACAAAATGATTTATAATTACAGAATACACAAATAAGAAGGCTATGCTTAACTCAGCTGGTGCCAAAAAGGTAGTTGCAAGGGAATCCCACACGTCAACAGCAATAAAAAATATAATTTACTGTCAGTGTACTGTTGATGCACAGGGCCTCTCTGATTAATGGCTCTCACTCCCATCTAACCATCCCTCGGCAGCGTGCTCTTATCTATCGTGCACTGCAGCTACCCACGGCCTCTTCCTCATCCCGGGTGTCCTCTCAGTCCTGATCACAGGCTCGCCCTGCAGGTATGTGGCTAGCTGGGTTCAGTCATGCTGGAAAACCCATCACTCAGCAGCTTTAATTACCACCACGGCGAGGTGTTGCAAGTCCCTTCATGTGTTGTATTTGCTGATGTGAAAAGCTGAGGATTTCAGTTTTCAGCCCGCTGCAGATATTCTCAGTCATCTCAGCCCCGAAGCTGGAAGTCAAAGTGTTTTAGTGCCGTATTTCAGTCATCAAATCCCACAGAGGAACAGTTATTGGACCATGAACTGCTGCACAGATCAGCTACAGAACATTTCCCACCACCTATTTTTCTTTCTTTCCCGACTTTAGAAAGCTTGGCTGCAGTTCATAAAATAATTTCTTCAGGGAAGGGAATTCACTGCATCACATTTCTGTCGTCTGGTGAAGAACATATGAATAATCTCCCGGACGAGGTGGAAACAACACCAAACCAACAGAGAATTCAACCGAGCGGGAGCGACGCATAAATCTGACACGACACTCAGAAGAACACATATTTCTTCCAGCAGCTTTGGAAATGTTGACATAGTATTGCGTCGTCTAATCGTCCTCATATCTGCCACTGGCAACAACAGTGTTTCACCTTGTGAACACCCGAGTCTTGCTTTGCCTGGCTTTTATGAAAATGAAAACTTGTAGATTGAATATAATAATACAATGATATCATCTTTAGTGCTTCCTTCTTAAAGCTAGGGTTGGTAATCTTGATAAACGAGCTAGAGTATGCTGGATTTGTAGAATTATCCAACCCAAAAAACTCTACCTGGTGTTTTCCAATGACAGTAGCCGCGCTGACTCCAAAAGTCTCTAAATCTAGAGTGAGAATACACAAAGGCAGTTAGACAAGCAAGGTAGCCCGTCCAGTTATCTCATTTGGGCCGAATGAAATAATCGGACGGGTTTATTACGGTCCTGCCACATTCACCAGAACCCTTTTTTTTTTTTTTTGTCAGAGCATTTGATTCATTCATTGCTGCCGGGATGCAATGAGGGTTTCAACAAAAACATCAAAAGTGTTTTTGAAGATTTCCAACCCTGTCTTTAAATTGTAAAATGAAAACACAGACTACAACCACACACACACACACACACACACACACACACACACACACTTCTCCAGTGTCTGATTCACCGAAGACACTCACCTCGCCTTTGTCTCTCTGCTGGACTGATTATATACCTCTCCTTACAATTAACATATTATTATATAGCTGTAATATATTGTACTGCATGCTATCACCACACTACACCTTATACAACATGGCCTCTTGCACTATATTCTGTTATATTAATACAATCACTGAGTGGCATTACTTAATCATATCATATATGAGCTTGGTCTACGCTGCTTACATACACTTGTTGACTCTGCTGCTGTTAATCTCAGGCTTACATGCTTCAGATGCACATTGCACAACAGCCGCCGTCATTAAAGTCGATCGCTCCCCAAGTTGCGGAGGAGAGCTGTCGGAAGTATCTGTGGTGGAGCGCATGCTGAGTCCACTTCCTTGAAGCGCTGCTCGACTGACTGGTAGTGGGTGTGTCTGCACTGTGGTATTGAAAGATCCGGCCCTGTCACTTGTCTTTGTGTCAAGAGGAAACAGGAAGTCAGGCATCGACGCGGACAGACAACGGACATCTGACCGCGACAGGAGCCTCGGTGGCCTGGACAAGACCAGAGCCACGAGTCTGAGGTCCTCACTCAACCTCATCGCCCCTTTTTGTTTAGTTTTATGAAAGTGTGATACCAACTTTCAGCAAAAAATAAAAACTCTTCACACAAACAAAGCGTTTTCAAGTAAAAATATACAATATATTTGTTGTATAAACTTGTACAGAATGTCTTGGACATTTAGCTTTACATACACTATACATAAGGGTCAAAACAGGGTCACTTTCGCATCCTTCATGATTTTAAGAAAATGTCCCCCCCCCCCCCCCCATGGCAACCACATGTTATGTACATCTTTACAAACATACCAAAACGAAACAGCCCTTGGATGCACTTTAAGAGGCCGTGACGAGATACAGATGACTTGTATAAAAAAAAATAATCCCTGAAAATGTCTCTCTTTGAGGTAAGAACACATTTCTTTTCAAACTCGTTTCCTTTCATTCCCTCTCACACATCAAACTCACTCATTTGTTCTGAGACCAGACTGGCAACAGAGGACAGATAATTACATATCGTGTCATCGGACGGGAGTAGCTGCAGACCGAAGGAGTAAAAAATAAACATCCATTCCTTTAGACACCGATTACTCACACGTTTTTGTTCCTCTCGATCGCGGCAAAAGCCAGTGTTATACACCTCGACCTGGTAGTAACTGACATACAGTTCAATTCCATGTTATGTTAGGGTCAAGACCAAGACAACAACAGGAAATATGACCTAAAGGTTACAAAGCAAGTTTCCTGTTAGAACATAACCACATGCAAATAACGCAGTTATAAGAAATAGAATGTACAGGGGGCGTTTATGGAAAATAACATGTTTTAAACTGGATCTTACAAACTTATTTAACGTCGTGGTGTTTACCAGACGTCAGTGTTGAAAACACAAGAGAAGATACTTTCCGAGGTGACTCCATTCTGCTGCAGGTGAGCTGCAACCAGTCATCAGAAGGAAAACTGGACACTATTTCAAGGCCGGATCGCTGTGGTAGCTTACTTCTCTCAGCTAGAGTACCATCAAAACACCTCCAGATTGGTCCCCGGAAAAACATTCAGATTGGCCAAAGACTCCTTTTAGACCATCAAGGCAACAATCGCAACATTAACATCCACTTTACAGCTGGTGAATAACAAGTAACAGTCAAACAACAATCCTAGTTGTAATAGAAAAGTTATGAAATGTCCTGCTGTTACGGTCGCACGTGACCACTGATTAATGCCATGCATGGTGGATGGCTAAAGTCATCCTTGTGCTAGAAATTAAGGCAGGCTGGATCGAATGGATCGGGTTCTCTGTTCCTTTAACAGATCAATGTCGTTCCTTTTTTGGTTCACAAATGCTATGAGTGACTTACTGCTTGTGGCAACTATTTAGGCATCTGACAAGCTCAGAAAAACCTCAGAGACACCACAGGAAATGACAAGAAAGAAAGAAAAAAAAAGGCCATTCAATTGACACTCATGTTGACTCCAGCGTGTCCAGCTGGAAGACATTGTGATTGGTCGGTGTGGTGAAGAAGAGCTGCTCCTCGCTGGTGGAGCGGTTGTCGCAGGGACTGTGCAGCCCCAGTGTCCTCTCAAAGTCCAGCAGCTGACCCATGAAGTTGAAGTTGGGGGAAATGTTGGACTTCTTCCTCTTGACGAAGTCGTAGGCGTCGTTGAGAGAGAGGTTGAGTCTCTGCATCAGGTACGCCACGGTGACCGTGACCGAGCGGCTGATGCCGGCCAGGCAGTGGACCAGGATGCCACACTGCTTGGACCGAGCTTCATCTGTAAGACGAAGGGGAAATCTACCGTCAGACGAAAGTTTATAACATTTCTGTAGCTATCAATGTGATTCTGACTCTTGACATCAAGCTATGGCACAACAATAATGGTGGTGCACCGGTAATTACACACATTAGCAAACAACACAACTTGTGAAACACACAACCCCAGGGAGGGAAGACAACATTTCCTTCCTCAGTCTACCTCTAAACCTTTTGGAAACTAGTTCACGAAACAAACAAGTCAGCGACACGTTGTGGTTTCAGGGAGCACCCGGGGCAAGCGACGGCCAATCGAAAGTGAAATTGAAAAAGTCATGTTGTGGCGCCACCAAAATACATCAGTTTCAAGATGAATGTGTCGACTGCTCTGCATCAAAGACGAGATGTCGTCGTACAACAGCCAACATGTGGTTGGAGAGGGAACGTTTAATGTGTCTCGCGGTGGAAACCACCATTTGCCGAGGAATAGAAAAACTCCCACCTGCCCCACAGATCCTTTATTATTAAGCATAATTAGGAAGCAATGACCTCATTAGTACAAAACAACAACAACACGTAAACGCATACATGTCTGGCACATGTGTCTGTTTTAAGTTCAACAAAGTTATTGACCTACTCACCTATGAACGATATGGCCTCTGGGAAGAACTGGGACAGGTTCTGACTCCAGTGGTCCGAAATGGGGATCTGTTTGTACCTGAAGTGGCCGTCGTGCTCGAACATGTTGGGCAGATTGGGCGTGACGTTCAGGATGTACTTGATGTTGTACTGGCCCAGCACATCTAGGTTGGTGGAGTCTTTGGCGCAGCCCAGGTAAAGGTAGGGGAGGATCTGGACGGGGAAGGCCGGCTGGTTGCTGGGGACGGGGCTCTCCTCGGACTCGGTGGCGCTGCCCGGCTCCCGATCGGACTCCCCGTCGGAGCAATCGGAGCTGATCCGGAGGTTTCCCAAACCCAGGACAGACAGCGGCGGAGAGGAGCTGGGACAGGAGCTGTCCAGGAGGGTCTCACAGTGCTCTGGGTACTCTGTGTGAAACTTCACAAATCCACCTGGACAAAAGCCAAAACACAAAGTGAACAAAGTCACACAATATTGGAGTTTAATCATTTTTAAAATAAACGCAACACCTTCTATTGTTCATTTTAATCATATTTACAATGGCAAAAAAAGGCATTATTGAAGCAGAGCTGTCAAGAAGGAGCTCGAGCCCCCCCCCCAAAATAAATAAACCATTCATGAAATGCATGCCTGTTCCTGCTCGAGCAAAACATGGCGCAGCCATTTTGGAATTTTAATTGAGAATCTCAGTGACACAAACTTTAGGAACAGCCTTCAAAACCGCAAAAGCCCCACAGCACGCGGGACGAACGTTGGCGCTGAAGTGACGTCAACGTTTGAAACGTTAGATTGCAACAATAATCGAGATTAACAAAAAAAAAACCGTTACTGTCTCGTTCTTAAGATTCAAAAGTCGGTATTAGAAAAGTTTAAAACCTCTTCCCGTTGAATAAAAAAAATAAATTAAATAAATGTGTTTTTAATTAGACGGTGAAACTGTTTACCTTCCAGGTAACACGCCGTGCAGCCGTCTTCCCACAGTTTCTGGAGAAGTAGACCCAAAACGGAGGCTGGAGCTCCGCTGTCCTGCCAGTCCACGGTGCACTCGTCGTACAGGAGCACCGTGTCCGTCTTGCACCGTCTTATGAACTTCTCCTTGTCCTCGTGGTTGGGGATGATGGTCCGGATCGGTATGTTGCCCTTCTTGAACCTCCGGAGCATCAGCCCCGGTATGGCCAGGTTTATGGCGGTCTCTATGTGGGACGACTCGTACAGCTCGTGTGAGCGGCAGTCCAGCAGCAGCAGAGAAGTGGCCCCGGACTCTAACTCGAGTTGCAGCCATTCCACGCTTCTACTCGGCGTCACATTAGACATATCGGACTCAATATCATACTAACACGCAAAGCACAAACACTTACTACATGGTCCACCCGAACTACATTTCACCCGAGATAAATAAAGAGAAGAAGCGTTAAACGTCGCTCCGCCGGTGCATGGCGCTTCTGCGCGAGCGAAGAGATTTCCCCTTTTTTTCCTCTTCTCTATTTCCATCAGTCAGTGAGCCCGACCTGCTCCCGGGCTAACGGAGACCTCATATGACACTTTCATTTACGAGACACGAGTTCAGATGTGGATGTTTTATAGCCAGTAATCGCCTTCATCAACTTCCACTACTCCGCATCGCACCAGGGTCCTCCATGCACATCCTCGCTTCACCATTCCGATGCATGGGAGGGTTTTTCTTTTCTTTTCTTTTTTTTTTTTTTTTTTTTTAACTTGACAGTAGAGCTCCTCGAGAGGGAGGAGTTTATTCCTTATGATTTAAAGTCATAGCAGAACTATCACAAAAAAAAAGTTTGGTCTCAATGGAATCATTCTGCCAATCACAGTTTTGTCAATTAATTAATCATATTTACAAAACAGTGTTTGTGACATCATAGCAAGTTCAAACGGACTTTTAAGGAGGTTAATGTCACCACTGACACTAAATACCAGTCCTTTAATTGGGCTGAATTGGTTCTGTTGAGTTTAACCACATGACCTTATGTAACTTTTCTGTTATGTATAATTATTTATTTTAGCATTATAAATAACCCTAACGAGGTGCGTCAAGGTCTGACAATAATCTCGCAATTCCTTTGCAGAGTTGTAACTTACATAATGAGGTGGAATGGCATTATTGCACAATATGCGTTATTATTGAGTTATCAAACCAAATTCTCCGGACCTACATGTGTAGCATTTTCTGAAGTGCTCTCGTGACACTCATTTAAAAATAGAAATCCTGTGGCATACTGTATTTTTTGCCTGTACATAACTGTGTACCTACAGTTATGTAACTTCCCATAGCAATACTAGTAATTCTACAACAATTGTTCATTTATTATCAAAGCAATACAGTATTTACAATGACATCACTATTCATTCATTTAGTACACAGCAACACGTGCGGATTGGTGAAGCATTTTTCTGAAGAGCAGCAGATCATTTCTCCACGGAAGTAAGTTGTGATATTTCACCGGTACAATGGTCGTTATCAGATCAGACACACCCTCGAAATTGCTCACTTCCTCTATTTTTCATCACCTTTTTCTTTATTTTCCCACGCTATATTGTCGCTGTGCACGAGGGCCTTTCCTCACAATGCGACCGCACCGCTCCCATGGTTGGCTACTGATGTGTATCCTGATGCAAGCGAGAGGGTGAATGTGGAGGAATAAGACTGGGAGAGGTGGACGCGTGTGGTGGGAATCCGGCCATGCAGCTCATCTGTCTGCACACGTGAGTGTGTGTGTGTGTGTGTGTGTGTGTGTGTGTGTGTGCGTGTGGTTGGGGGGCACAGATGTGCAGAGCATTGGGATTAACAGCAAATGAGGAATAGAGCTAAACCTGCACACAAATGCTCTCAACCATAACAACACACAATAACAGGCACCACACCACCTTTTCAGCACCTGTCATTGATAACCAACACACACACACACACACACACACACACACACACACACACACACACACACATACCTGTCCTCTTACACCATTGCTGTTCCAGTAAAACTCTCATCCATAAAGTTCCAAGAGTTATTGGACCTGCCCTCAGATATTTTGCAATAAGGAGCTGAGCAGCCTGCATCAAAAGACAGTGATGGATGAAGGAATTAATGTGTGGCAATGCGGTTGGACGACGCACAAAGGACTACTTCCTGCCAACAACATCTTTCTGGAATTTTTTCTAGATTTACTGGATTCACTGCACGTGAAGCAAGAGTTATTTTAGGCGTAAACATGACCTTGTTTATTAAATACAAGAAGCTAGTTATGCTGTTGGGTATGACCCGCTGCATAATATGTCTCAACCTCATCCACACAGCTCGAATAACTGGAGTGTTGATTCAAGCATCTGGAGCAGAACTATATCACTGGCATGATAGAGGTGGTGATCACCTGACTGCTCCACTCCCACCTGTACACCTCGGTTCCATAATGCAATCCAAATGTGATCTACGGGTGAATCACACAGAGAGTTTGCTTTGAATGTGGTCTTTGATTTACAGAATCCCAGGTTTTGCATTGTCGAATGCTGCTTCGAGGGCTTTTTTCACACATATACTGTATATATACATATATATACATATATATACTGGACGGACATATGAACACATCCCTGTCACATGCAGCAGGAAGCACTGGGGCTGAGGCACTGAAGATGAGACAGGTGGGAGGGAGAGCTTCCTCTCCCTTGATGTGGGAGCAAAGGGCTTCTTATTGGACTAATTTTATCCAAACATGAAGATCAGAGGTGATAGAAGATGTCTAACATCAATAAAAATACAAATGCTATCTTGTATGAGAAACGACATAAAGTAACCAGGCTGCGACAGCGATGACAGATAAATCTGACATTTCATTTAAAATGCATATGTAATGTCTGCGACGCTGCTGCGATGTACACAGAAGTATACGTGCTGCATTTTTATTACAACCAATATGATCTCCCTCGCTGCATAGATGGGAAACACAATATCCTGTTCTCTACTGATACCATCTAGTGGTTCGTAAAAGCTGCTGCACCAGCTATGAGTCATCTGCAAAGGGGAAGGAGGCGTGTGGCCTCACAGCTCCGAACAGGAGAGCCAGGATGCCTCCGTGTGGTGAAAACCAAGAATGCCATGAAATGCATTTCATGAATGAACGACCGGATGCCCACAAATCTGCGCTTAAGCTGATTATACATGGAAACCACAAGGTTCTCCATTGAAAGAATTACCGTGGCATTTATCCAACATGTTGTTTATGACAGAACTACTCAATACAGTCATTACTTTAGAAATAAGATGATAACATGTATCCCACACCACCCTAGACCTAAGCCACATGCTTCTCCATCACCTTCTATCTGAGATATACGTCTACAGAAGGAAGCAATGCCACATTCCATCACATGCTATAACTGATATGAGAGATAATTGTTCTGCCAGAGGCACTGCATGTAATGAAATAGTTCACATATACAGTACATGTATAGGGTTGACGTTTCCACTCCCAATACAGATAGCGATGGACTACCGATCAGATAGCAGGGTTTAGTTAATAAACTGAAAGCCTAGCTGCGTGGAAGCGGATCATTCTTTTATGCGTAAGGCAACATTGGGCTTAACTTAAACATTACTTTCATAACTTTGTCAAACAAAGTGTAACAAATAAATACACGGTGATAAAAAAAAACACAGAATTGTTTTGTTATTGAAATAATAAATGATGCACCAGCAAAAATCTTCAAAATTACCATAATTCAAGTGTTTTTTAATGCAGCAACAAAATATTAAACAGGTATTAAACTTCCAGTACGTAATGTATACATAGAATTGGATTTAATAGATCGGCCTCATTGTCACAGATACCCAAGCTGTTTGACTCAGTATCCGTCTGAAATCCAACATCAGTAATGCTGCATCCCTACGTGTGTGTGCAGAAAATATCCTGTGCGTCGGGATGAATGTTAAATGATAAAACTGTGTGTAAGGCCTGGTTGTATTAGCGATTTGAGATGTTCACTGGTTTAGAGTGAGTGTGTGATATTTCATGCCAATCCGTTATCTCATTCACTTCATAATTAAAGCTTATTCTAGCATGAAATGTTCAGATTAGATCTTTGCGTAACACATAATCAGTAAAAATCAGTAAAACAACCCACATAGTACTCTAAGATGAAAAGGGGTAATTATTTTCTTCAGAAAGGCAGCATAAATGCTATTACAGCACTTTAACAACCAATAAGAGTTAGTTAGTTAGTTCAAACACTTTGCATTTACTTTTTAATAGAGGAATTAATTTACATTATGTAACTTACACATGGGACAAACCAATGTTCAAATATATGTATTCATAAAACTTTTGCAGTCATAATCAATACATTCAAAAGTGAACACACAAAAGTCAATCAGCACTTAACCCACACATTTATTTGGTGCCACAGGACATTTTATTACGCAGTGATAGGTTTAATGTGAATACAATAAATAGCTTGAATGCTAGGAGGCGGGGCTTGTTGGGATTTCAGTGTTCAACGTGATTTCAAGCCACTGCTGATATCATGTGACTGAGGCCTGTGAAGTAGGACTTCTCCCTCTCACTCATCAGCTCCAAGTGAAGAGGCTGCCGGCACAAGTCACACTCTGCTGAGGAGTGAGGCCTCAGCTCCATGCCCACCTCCTTCCACGTCTTCACCAGCCGGTCTGTGGAGACGGAGCAGAGAGCAAACAGCTGAGGATACAACAATCTTTGACATAAATTATGGGTATAAGGTATAAATTAAAGCATTAAAAAGTGTAAAAATAAGGCGGTTATAAACTACAAGTAGCTACAGACTTGCAATATTCACCTAAACTTTTTCCTTTAACAGTGAGCCTGCTACTTTGCTATTAACAAGGTTAATTCCCGAGTATATTAATGACATTTTGTTCTTCTTCCAATTGAGAATTTTTCGTTCAACACGCAATTTAAATATACCTATGACTGCTCAGTGCAACAGATTTTTTTTATTCATGAGATAGGCATTATAGTGGACATACCAACAAAGAAGAACATCATCTGTGGAGTGTGGTGTGGTGTGGGAGCGATGCGCAGCAGCTCCTCCCCTTTGGTCACAGTGGGGTAGTTGATCGCCTGGACGTAGATGTTGTAACGAGACATCATGATGTCGCAGATCTTATTGTTCTTCTCTGCATCAGCCACCTACCAAACAGATGCATCACATGTCAGATTCACATTTCGAAGTTATGCAATTAAATAGACTTGAATTCCTGCATAGACACTAATTGGATAAATGATTAATTTCCATTACCCGGACAGGTATAATGTGGCTCGGGCAGTGGACCACCGGAAGGCCCGAGTCCATCAGCATCTGCCGGAGCAGCTTCACGCTCCTCTGGTGTTTCCTCCGGAGCACCTGGCCCTCCTCACTTTTCAGGACCTTGATGGAGTCCTTCGCCCCTGCCAGCAGCATGGGGGGCAAGGAGGTGGTGAAGATGAAGCCCGCGGCGTAGGAGCGCATGGTGTCCACCAGGGCGCCGGTGCTGGCGATGTAGCCGCCCACGCAGCCAAATGCCTTACCTGGAAGGGAAACCCACAACAAGTCAGAGAGGCACATATGTCAGGGTGCTGCAATGGGTTTCCCCCCTTCGTTAGTTCTACTCACCAAGGGTTCCAGAGATGATGTCCATCTTGTGCATGACTCTGTCTCTGTCCCCGATCCCGCCTCCTCTGGGCCCGTACAAACCCACGGCGTGAACTTCGTCCACAAAGGTAATGGCACCAAACTTGTGGGCAATGTCGCACATCTCTTCTAGTGGGCACACAGCTCCTATAGAAGACACCGCGTTTATTAGATCACTTATCATAAAAATAAAACTACAAAAACCTGTTTTATCTGTTGTTTTTAAATCTTTTTAAATGTCCTATTTAACTGACACTTGCATGGAGGGCTGTGTACTCACCGTCCATTGAATGCACCGTCTCAAAGGCGACGATCTTTGGAGTGGAAGGGTCAGACTTCTCCAGCAGCTCTTGCAGGTGGTTGACGTCATTGTGACGGAAGACAAACTTCTTGACCCCACTGTTTCTTATACCCTGGATCATTGAGGCATGGTTGCCGGCGTCAGAGTAGATTTCACAGCCTAGACGAGTAAACAAATGTTAAATACTCTTCCACGGATGAATAAAGAAAATATGTCATCAAATACAATTGTTGTATCATAGCAATGGCACTTTAGGTCACATGTTGGAACATTTTCCGAGCTCAGTTGAATGTACCTGGCAGCATTTTTGCCAGAGTAAACAACGTGGAGTCATTGGCTACAAAGCAGGAAGTGAACAGCAGCGCAGCATCCTTGTCGTGCAGGTCAGCTAGCTCGTGCTCAAGTTCCACGTGGAATTTGCTCGTCCCCGAAATATTTCGTGTGCCACCAGCACCGGCGCCATGCTTTCGTAAAGTCTCCCTTGAAGAAAAATAACAAAGAGTTTCTTATATTAGAGTTTTACAACGAGTTTATTCTCGTACCTCATCAGGGCTGACTCTGTATGTATGTAAGCCCACTCACATGATTGTCTGGGTGACTTTGGGGTGACGGCTCATGCCGAGGTAGTCGTTGCTGCACCACACGGACACATCTCTCTTCACGTGAAGGGACTCCGAGTAGTCGTCTGCCATGGGGAACGAGGGGGCACTCCGGTTCACCGTCTTAAAAACCCTGTATGTGTGATCTGTCTTCTTGCTTTCGATCTTCCTTTCAAAGTACTTGTCGTACTGGAAGGTGGCGACTGAAGGACGGAAAGCAGGAGGAGGGTTGTTATGAGGTTGAAAAAGCAAATCTCTTTGACTGTGAAGAAATGATTGTACATTAAGAAGAAGTTGTCTTTCTTACCCTCGGGCAGATTGTCCTTTAGCAGGTGAGACACTTTGGAAGACATGGGTCTAAAAAGGCTTTTTGGTGTGTTGGCCTTGTCTGCCTCCATAAGATCCACAACCGATAAATCCACGTCTTTCTTCCCTGTTTTAAGAAAGATGCACACTATTAATGATCTCCAAATCAATGCATGACATTCATTTCCTATGACTATTACATGTCACTAGAGTGTGTACACTCCAAACACGGACCTTTCACAACTTACATAACTGATCTACTGTATGAGTATCCAATTACAAGTTGCTTACCTGTGCGCACAGAGTGTATTTCCTGGACGTCCTCCTGCAGCTCCATACTGGCCTCCCTTACTACCCTGTTGTTGTTCTGCACCATTTCTGCAGCCAGGAACGGGCATTTAGAGCCTACAGCCTGGCCAGCAGGTGGCATAACGTGACCCGGGGGCAACTTGACTGCATGCTTTTGATCTACAGAAGACAGAAATACATTTCTAAAATCTGTCTACACAATAATACATTTAAAAAAATCAGCATTTATTCAATTAATTTAACAGTTAATCAATATATAGGGTGGCTCACCATCATTTGTTGGAGTGCCATTGCATGCAGACGCTGAAGAGGACAGAGCTCTGGCCGGAGGTCTGGAGGCCAGGTCCATCATCACGGGGCACTTCTGGGCATAGCTCACCAGCGATGACTTCCCAGCCAGCTGCAGGAAAACACTGGGCACAGCAGTGAGGAAAGGGCACCTGCGGATCACTGCGTCCATATGAGATCCTCTTGACCTGAATGAGAGGGAGAAAAAAAGGAGAACCGTTAAAATATACAGTATGTCAAGATGATTTTCCTGTGGGAAGAGACATCCATTGCAAACAGTTTATACCATAACGTTCAAATACATTGGAATGCAACCTGCTAATATTATAAATAAAGACAGCACGGGCAGTGTGGTTAAAAGATCTTCCTCAAAAATGTGACAACTGATCAGGTAAGATTTAGATTTATTTCCTACCAAAACTGCTCCCGCATAGTTATTGTTTTTTACCTGAACACATCCCAGTCCACCCGGACGTAACTGATGAAAAATGTCTTGCGAAACATGACTGATTCCACACTAATCTGTGACCAGTGAGACTGGAAAGCAATATTATATTTAAAGCCCAAGAGACTCCTTTAATCCACTCTGCTCTGTAGTCAGCTGTCCTTGACAAGTGGAAAAGGGAAGGCCTCTCGAGGACCTGTCTGGCAACGAAGGAGACGATGAAACACATGAACTGTAGCAGACTTGAGCCCCCGCCATCCTGTTTATGTCAGAAACAGAGGCTGGATCTCATGAGATCCGCAACGTCGAACAAGACGCTCTGCATTACAGTCTCTTTTCTGTATTGTTATTATTGTTATCAATTCATAAATACTTTGTTTCTAGAAATAAACGGCTTTGGAGGAAACTGACAAAATCATATTTTTAATTACCAATAAAAGGACAACAGATATAAGTTCTAGATAGATTATAAACCATAATTAACTGCACACAACAGCTAAAACCTACCATTTACAGAGGTACATAATGTATAATAATGTAATAATAATAATAATATACACAGTGCTCAAATGATCTCACAGTATCCAGTTGCTTTTAACCATTTAAAAAAAAGAAAATACATTTCTCCAGAGGCATTTGGTAAAGATTGGTAGTCTGAAGCAAAAACTTCAACATAAAGATTGAGGAATTAAATACCATATTTTGTTTAATCAGTTTTGATCAATAAAAGCTTAGCAAGCCAAAGTTCAATTGATGGCAGACAAAAACAGTTCCTACCTTGAAGCCACGGGACTTCAGACTGGACCACATGGCCTGTAAACCATCCCTGTAATATTCCCTCGTGCAGTTCTTATAATAACCCACCTGGTTTATCTTTATAATTTATTGTCTTCCTCGACAGTTTCCCAAAGGCGATTCTTCTCTCACGTTGAGGAAACTCCAGCTGCAGATATTACAACACGTCGGTCACTGCGGTGACGTAGCAGCAGCATGTTGCACAAGCAAGGAGCCACGCCCACCGGCCGTCACGTAATGCTGCCAAAGATCGTCTATTTCAAACAGGAAGCACTCTACGTCCATTAAAGTGGACACATACACTACTCCAAACAAGTTGCATAAAGCAGTTAAAATTAGCTCAACTTCGACCAACTATTTAAAGTACTGATCACGTGCATCAATGACATAATAACTGTAGTCTGGAGGCGGAGCTGTCTGAGGAGGAGCAGGAAGTGGGAGGAGCCTGGTGGGATCAGACCTTATATATCAGTGGTTCTCAAACTGTGGGGCGCGCCCCTCTAGTGGGGCGCGGCGGTATTGCAGGTGGGGCGCAGGGGGAAATGCAGAATTTTTTTATTTCAAGAACTTTATTCATACCTGCAAACTTGTCGCTTTTCGGCGAAATTCGCCGTTTTAAATCAAAATATATCATCCACGTGAATCGTGTAGATCCGTAGAGGGTTATTTTGGGGGGGGGGTCGGTCAACTGGCCAGCCAGCGTTTCTCAGATTGGAGTGAGACGAGGAGAAAAGGTGATGTCGTGATCTTCACAATAAAACATATAAAACTCTTTATTGCCAAATATTTGAACTTGTTTTGTTTAGTTTTTCACAGGTTGCAGTTTATTGTTATTATCTTAGAAAGATATTCAGTGCAAAACAGGTGAATTGCAGCCACAATAAGCAATTTTTTGTGGGTGGTGGGGCATGAACATTTTTCTTCCTCCAAAGTGGGGCGTGACAGAAAAAGTTTGAGAACCACTGTTATATATAGCAGTCATATATATATATATATATATATAGGATTGAGTTCAGGTGTGAGCTAATTAGTCTACCTGCAGTCAACGCCACTAGCAACCATTGTTTGTCTGAGTGAAAATGTGAGTTTTCTTTACTCCTAGTACATTTACGTTTGAAGTACTTTGATGTTTAAGATGTTTGTTTTAAATTCAGATGATTGTACATTGTGTTAATTCTTGTCAGTTATAAGATAGCCAGATATTTCTCCTTTAGTGTATATTAATAATAATACATGGTACATTTCCGTTTAGATAAAACCAACATTGACTGGGTGTCAGCCTCTCCTGTCCTACCACCAGTCCATGTCTACGATAAATCACAACTGAAGTGGACTCTTCTGCACACTGCCCTCCACCCAGTTAATCACAGTACTTGGTTCAGCCCACCCCTCATACAGTCCTGAGTGGGGAATATTTTAGGGCCATTATGCATAAAACTTGTAAAATTGTGACTTTACTTCTTACTTAATCTGAAGACTTATTTCACCACTAGTAATGGGCAATTTTTTAAAATCTCATTTGTTTTTTTGGGGTCCTCAACCCACATTTCTCCTTTATTTACTTAATAAACTCTGATCTTAAAAAGCTAAAATATGGTTAATATTTGCACCTTGTCATTTGCAAGTGCCTTAATCATTTCAAGTGTTGATTGTAAAAATATGTTATAAGCTTTAACATTTTAGTAAATTATTTACTATGCAAAATATTTTCAGCACCATTTTTATTACTAATCATTGTGATCTACCTGTGTGTGGATATCTGTCCTGCAACGGTTAAAGTAAATGTTAAGAGGAAGCATGCATAAATAAAATGAACACTGCCTCCACCTGCTGGAGGTCAGATTGTATAAAAAGAACAGTAGCATGAGCTTATATATCTTGTGCATTAATTACACGATCCGCCTCAGTTTCTCCAACTCCAAAACTACTGAATCATCCTTCTCATCTGCTCACATGTCGTCTTTGCACTAACATGAATCAGCGGTGTTCAGTGGTTGTAAATCATGCAACACAATGCTGAAACAATTGTATAATAATTAACTCCATGAATGAAAACCGATTCACATAGTGTGTTTGGGAGCGTTGCAACAGCAGGTCCAAACATCTCTGGGAATATAAACAAGGCCAACAAGAACAGGAAAACCACAAACCGGTTCTGACTTGTCAAAAGGTTTACAGGGTTTTAATGATAGGATGAGACATTTCACAATTACAAAACAACTTAATAATTCAATCCATCTGACGAGGACAGGCAGGACAGTTCAATGGAAGATCTGTCTTCAGTTTCCTCGTTATTCCACTAGGTGGCATCATCGCGCTCATACCCAGCCCCCGTAGCGCAGCTTGTTGGGCAGGTAGATGCTGGTGAGGAAGTCGGGGGCTATGGCTGCCAGTGACTGTATTTCAGCCTTGACCTTACTCTGCTGCATCAGTTCCATCTAGGACGAGAGCAAACACGCAGCGTCAAGGAGCATGAAGGAGGAGGCCGTGCAAACACGCGCATAAATCATCAGGTGTTTATCTCCGAGAGCCACTCCAACAACAGAGTGGCTCCTCTGCATCGTCGGTACCAGCGAGCTGAGAGTCCTCTCACGCGCATTCCTGTGCCGTGTGTCACACGAGCAAAGACGTTACAACTGTATTAAACCTGAGTAAGAACACTTAGTTTCCTTTTGAAGAAAAGGTTGTTTCAGACCAACATTTTCTCTAAGTAGGTGGTAGGTAAAGGTTGTGGGAAACTTATTTATTCAGACATGAGAACTACTCCCACATCTAAATACGATAACACTTGAATATGTTAATAAAATGAGATAAAAACTGAATTTTCTTTCAGCATTACAACCAGTTTAATTGAAGAGATACGTTTCAGACACTCGCACATATCTTCGCCACTTCAGTCAATTCTAAAGCAGCTTCCTGTCTCACCTCTCTCTGCCAGTCGGGTTTGCTGGTTACGTATGGCCTTTGGAGGAGGCTGCGGAGTTTGCTCTCATCTCTGCCGGTGAGGGGGATCAGGGCATCCTCGGGAACCCGCAGCCTGAAGAATGAAATGGGGATTTTTTTTTTTTACTACGCATAATAACATTGATTTCCTGAAAATGGCAGCAGGCAGTTCGGTTGATGGATGTCATCCTTTCAGACTCGCGTTGAGTTATTATGTGTATGTTTAGGGAGGAACATAGGAGGGGAAAAAAAGTGGAGACTACAATTAAATGTATGTCAAAAAGCCCCTTTTGGCCTAAATCTGTTGGAGGGGACGTATACTTAAAACTCAATATGCTCTCGGATGCAGTTCCTAGAGGGAAGAAGAAAAGTGAGGGCGACAGCAACAGAAACCAAAACAAACAATCCAGATGTCCCCAGAATATAATCCCAATTAGAGGCAGGAGGAGGAAGTAGGAAGTAGCGAATGTTGAGTCCAAACCTCTGGAGGTCAGAGGGGAGGAGCCCTAGCCACATAACGCTGGGGACGGTCAGACTGTGGGCCTCAAACGACATGGCCTGTGGAAAAAACACACACACACGGATGCCAAAAAATGCTCATACACATAATGTATCTCAAATAAACACACTAATCAGCACCGTGCCCACAGTGTGGTTAGGCCCAACACATGTTCACAATGACGTTAATGAACACAAGGATGATTACACAAACATCACAGACAACAGAGACACAAGATCAGTCAACGTTTTCACTCCATACGTCAGTTTCAATATTCTCAGATGGATGAGTTTTTACTTAAAGGAGGGGCATAATTACACATTGCTAACAGTGGGACACTGAACAGGCCACATTGGATAATATACAGTATAGGAATAAGTGGCAGGGCAGGACTCACCACTGATCCGTACTTGTAGATACACATGATCTCAATCCCTGAGAAAATCAGAGGGAGAGACACAGACACGCTGCAATCACCAGCATACCAGAGCAATTATCCTCCGAAATGTGTAACAGAGCTTAGAACAAAGTAAAGCATTACACATGTGTCACGCCATGCCATGGGGAAAGGGTTAGAGGTACGGAGGCCGACGGAAAGTGAGCCGTCCTGCCAGGACGAGATCACGCCAATGGAAAGAACAGTCAGACGAGGCACCATGACGTAGCGGACAGGTGCTAACATCTCCTGGCCTAGCTTTGTGTGTGTGTGTGTGTGTGTGTGTGTGTGTGTGTGTGTGCGGAGATGAAAGGACAGTCCGAGTGTTGTTAAACGTGTGGAAGTATGTGAAGTATGCGCAAGAGGTAAAACTGGTTTGCACACAGACGGAGGATGAGTACCGTGCGGGTCAGCGTCCACCAGAGCGAAGACGGGGATGTGCAGCGCGTCCCAGAGCTTTCTCACCATCAACCTGCTGTT